TGCAACCAACAAAAAAAACCTAAACTTGGTGGAGAAATTGACTGCCTATTGGAGCAACCCAAGAAATTGCATAGTTGAAACTGAGAGGTTTGGGGAACATCTAATGATCTACAAGCAGTAACTTGATTAAAACTTCAATGGACATCTCTGCCCATTGTATGTTCTTGACGAAAATGCCCAGACTATCTGGCCTTCTTTAAAGCCATGTTTCTGAAGAGTAAGTTAGTAAAGGAGCGTGCTTGGTGTGGATTCTTTGTTTTGTCATGACTATCCAGCTCTTCTGTGAATGGAGAGACAAAACTTGGTGGATGGAAACTTCTAGTTATCAGCAATGAGGACTACATTGTAAGACAGGTTGTATTATTTCATTCAGGTTTCACCATTGCTTAGGTAGAATTTCCCTCAGCATCTCTCTTGGCCCTCATCTGATTTTTTTTTTAACCAATAAGTGAACATTCTGATTTCTAATCTTGCTCCCTGGTGTCCTGATCATGTAAAAGCAGTGGCTGAGGTCTGACCTCAAAAAGATCCTCAATGTAGGCAAATTGGAATGCACTAGTCTTTTGGAAAGTGTTTGGGGTGTGTTCACTGCAATGTATCTAGACAATTCTGTGTGTCCTGAGCAAGCACCTTCATGGATTCCTAAGGCTTTAGGCCAGTTCCTGGGAAGTAGAGCAACCCTGTAACTTATTGCATCCTTAAGGGGCAGTGAAGTGGAGCCCAGTGAAGGTCCCTGGAGAAAAAGACAATCTACCTCTTGGCATTCAGAGGAAACTTTAGAGAAATCTAGCTTCATGCTCTGTTGTCTCAATGGCATTTACAATGCTAGACTATTCTAGCATTTACAGTGCTAGAATAGGTAGGGCAAAGACTTGGAGTAGAGCTTCTGTTTAGACAGGAGATTTATCACCAGGAAAAGGGTCCAAAGTTTCTGCATGGATGGGCTGGGTTGATGGTGGAATATTAAGTTTGGTTGTAGAACACTTGTCTCCTCTGCTGGGTCTGGAAAGAATGGATAGGTAAAACTGCAGGAAGAGATTAAAATTTACCAGTTCTGTGTTGCTTCTAGTGATTGGGGGAAGAAAACGCTTAAGCCCAAAAGACTTGACCTCAGAGACTGTAATGTGGTCAAATGATGTTACAAGCTGATTATTCTTTATCTGATATAGTTGGGAAGAGAAGTGTGTCAGAGGGGGGTTTAATTTAAAAAAAAAAAACTGAAATGCTGACACATACATAATAAGATATCCTGGGGATGGAACTCAAGTCTAAATACAAAATTTATTTATGTTTGATATGTATTATACACATGGCATAAAGGTAATTTTATACACTATTTTATTGATTCTGTGTTTTGTTGGAGTTCCATCTCGCGAACTTGGGTATGAAATCTCCCTGCATAGTGTCATGTTGATTTCAGATTTTTTTTGTTTCCAGATCCAAGGTGTTCAGCCTGTCTCAGACCTAGCTTCTCCCAAGCTGATATAATCCTTGGTTCAACAGATCTCACACAGGTTCTCACAAGATGAAAGTGCATTCTCTTCATCTTCTCATCTCAACAGTTTCAATCCAACAGATGAAGGAGAATCCACCTCACACCTTTTAATTATAACTGGAGGACTTACTCATTTTTGAGCTTATTATTTTGTCTGAGTCACTTGATTGCCCTGGAAAGCAAAAACAAGCCTGTTTTGATTAGAAGCATCTAGACAGCTAGCAAAGAGGAATTAGAATAGATGCTCCAGAAGAAGGATGCTGGGGTGTTGGGCAGGAGTGCATTGGACAGTGATTTGGAGGTGTGAGAAAAACCATGACAATAAGAATTTCTGTGGCCTCAGGAACATTACAATGTAATCCTCACCACCAACACTCCTAGCCCTCTCAGGAGCATACATTTGAATGCCTCAGTTCTCCCATAGTACTGATTTAACTTAACTCCCATATACAGTGTGAGTACATAAGTCACCTGCCTGATATCACCACCCTTTTTTAGACTCTTTGCTACATTGAGTTCACTACTATACGTTATTGTCAGTCATAAAACCCGAGCCCTGGGCTGTTTATTCACGATATAGTACCTAATACTTTCTTTAGACATTTTTCTTTAAAAAAAAAAACACTATATTACTATTATTTCAAAAACTTTTAGATAGAAAGAGACATCCTCTGGTATGCTTCCCCAATGCCCTCAGAGGTTGGGGCTGGGCCAGGCCAAAGGCCAGGGATGGGATGCAATCTAGGGCTCCTGCACAGGTTGTAGAAACCCACTACCTGGAGCCATTTCGGCTGCTTTCCAGAGTCTGTGTTGAAGGAAACTGGGGTCAAAAGCCAGAATCAGGTACCTACTGCAGCCACTCTGACAGCAGATGTGTCGTCTTTATGGGCATCTTCAGTGCTATGATAACCATTCCACCCATACTAACTTCTGAGTGTACTTCAAAGAAGAAAATCCGAGATTATAACACTATACTTCTTCTCCACGATAGTGGTTGATTCATATCCTAATAATGACTTACTAAAACACCCTATAAATAGAATCTGAACCAAAATTAATGATGAATTAGGTTGATCATATCTTCAGGTTTGGAGATATATTGAGCTCTTTTGTAAAGCATCTATTCAAGTCCTGTATCTATTTTGTCTATTTTTCCCTTTTTGTTTTGGAAAACTTTTTGATATCTATTTTGGGATTCCAGTGGACCTGTATTGGAAGACTGCCTTACAAATATCACCCTTCATTCCTTGAATTATCATTTTCATCTTCTTAATACTATTTCATGGTGATTAGAAGTTTGATTTTATTTATTTTATGAGTCTTTTTAAAATACTGTGCTTGTTATATTTAAGGAAAACTTTGCTTGTTTTGAGGCTATTAACATGTTATTTTTTCTTCTCTGCCTTTGGTTTATTTTTCTCCTTTTGATTTGTAATCAATCTTGAATTGGTTTTTTGTTAAGGGAGATAAGCGGATCAAGATACACTTCTCTTCCATAGATATACAATTGTTACAACTGTCCAGTTTCTAAGATGCCACAGTCCTGCTGAGGGACCCTGTATGTCCATCACAAATTTTGCCTTTTATGTCATTTCTTTTGTCCTTATTATGTGATCTGACATAGCAAGGGTGAAATTCTCCATTTCTTTCCATCTGAGCTTGGAATTTTCCATTTATACTACAGGGGAAAGTTAAAGAATGAATGTAGCCAGGCTTTACACTGTATTGATCAAGATATAGGCTACCTTGCAAAAACTGGTCTAAATATAGCACTGGGTTAGATTCTATAGCATGGATCTTTGTCTCTCATCAAGTAATTCAAGAGAAGCAATCCAAGGCTAATATCGTGGCTCCATGCACAAACCTAGACTCCTCCTAACATTTTTCTGCTCCTTGTTACTCAATACACAGTGTCTAACTCATGGTGCTAGAATTTCTCCTAGTCTTTGTTACAATATCCTCATTGCTGTCAACATTAAAGAAAGAGAAGGAACCAGAGATGAAGTCATTTATGGTAACACTAACTTAGAGACTGTGCACATCACCACCACTTCTGGCCATTGACCTTAACTGTGTACATGGTCATATCAAAATGCCAACAAGGTTGAGAAAAGCATTTAGCTAAAATACACCAGCTAAAATTTTGGAAATATACTGCCAAGGGAAAAAGAAACAATTAGGTAATGACAAACAAATAGCTTCTACGTGCCACTCTTACCCACCACTTTATGTTCTCTATCAGCTGCAAAGAAACCGGACATTACCTAAAGGTAAACTTTTACTTGGATGGTGGTCACTGTTTGACTCTCTTTATGTGAAGGTCACAGCCTACAGATTGTGTGTCTGCTTTGAAATCCTTTTCTGAGACTGATTGGAAAAAGGTGTGTCAATCATCTCCTAAGTGGAGCCTAGCAAGATGATGACACAGCCAAGATTGGAGTCCCGTTAGACGCTCTCCCACCCCATTATGTTCTTGGCGGTAATTATCACGATAGATTTACATTTTTTCATTAGATACTCTATTTGTCAGAGGTTTATTGAGAATACCATAAGCCCATAATTTTGAAAGGTTCCAGAAGGCATAAAATCTAGCAGTGCAAAAAAAAACCACTTTTCACACAAAGAATTTGAAACAGCCATGTCTCATTTTTACTGACTTTACAAGTCAGTTTCCCAAATACATTGTGCTCTGAGTAACGTTTACCATGTATTCATTCTGAGGAGTGGTTATTAGTTACAAGTAGTGAGTGGGGTTTTAAAGAAAACGATGTATGTTTTTCTAATATTATTTCCTAGCTAGGCCATTTAGCATTAATAACACTATTTGATAAGCAAATGCATTATGTTTATCCACAAAATAAATCAAGAGGAGATAATTATTTTAGGGTCCAGAATTCCCTTAGGTTTTAGTCTTATGTTTGTTTTTTTCATCTGAATATCATTAACTGAAACTTTAGTTTTAAAGATACAACCCAAATGCAATTTTTAGTGCATATTGGCTGTTTTCCAAAGTAATCTGATGGGTTGTTTTTCTCGTTAGTGACTTTGGTTGCTATAAAAAACAGTTCTGAAATTTTGGGCATGTTATGCCCGATCTTGCATTATTTTGGCTCTCTCTCTCTCTCTCTCTCTCTCTCACCTCATCACCCCCTGCTTTCTCACCTCAGTGCACACTCCAGCCATACTACTGAGCCATTTACAACTCCACTAATGCTCCATGCACTCTCTCACCTTTGCCCCCACACACGCTTGCTCTTCTGTCCACTCCTTGCCTTACATTGTCCAGTCATCTGTTATACTGTTATATATCTTACAGCTTCCACTTAAGGCATCTCCTTCCCCAGGACATTGATATTGGATTAAGTACTCATTTTGTGCTCCTTAGCACTTAGCATCCTACACCCTGCTTCTCGTGGTCCTCATCAGCTTATGCTGTTAGCCTTGACATCCCCCAAGCAAGATCAAGAGTTCACTTCATAGTTTTTATTTCCTTATATTTCCTCAGAATTACAACCAGCCCTCTGTGATGACATTAGCCATCCCCATCGCAGTGAAATTCCTCCAGAGAGGCAACAAGGAACTGCGCAGGAATATGTCAAATTACCTGTCCCTGGCTGCGATCACCAAGGCCGATCTCCTGGCTGACCACACAGAAGCCATCGTCAAGAGCATCCTCCAAGGTACTGTATGAGGGCTGAGCTGTGGGTTGTGATTTGTCTGAGAGCATTTTCAAGAAGCCTTTAGGACTTCCAGGAAACAAGAGTGTTGTGGAGTAATCTGGAGTATTGTGGCGTACATCAATACTTTACTTTGTTACTAGTTGACTTACGAATGTGCATGGGGTCACTTGGCTGACTGAAATTGTGTCTCTGCTCTTGGCATATGACTTGCTTGGATTCCTTAGAAGGGTTCCAATTGTCTTTCCATTTCAGCACTGCTCAGTTTAGAGAATGGGCTTTTCTAAACTCCTGGTTCCCTCATCTGACTACCAACTATAGAGAGCTTATCCTAACACTGAGAGGAACGCGTCCCTCTGCTCTCAGGAGTAGCAGGAGAACCTCTTCTTCCATTGATTCTAAAACATTTTAAAAATGCCTTTTCTTAGATAAAATAGTCTGTAAAACATGTAAGGACTTAAATATGACTATGTTTGGGGTTTGGTTTACTGTTAAAGGTCAAATCAGGATGACTTGATCAATTGTTCAAACATTGGGATGAAAGAAAAGGTCAAGTTGTTCATGAAAAATACTCTCCTTGTCTTCTCTTTTTGCCTTTAAATTCATATATATCAGAAATCATGTTTTTGGTATTTGAGATCAGTGAGCAAGACACAGAGTTATTTGCCATGCATCCAAGTGTTGCCAATGCTGGTTGATAAAGCTCTGTGAGGTCCTTGAATGTCTCAGCCCACATGTTACTGACACATACCCCTGCGGGATGCTAGGGTAGAGCACCAATCCCCTGTCAAGTGATCCAAGTATGTCCGTGAGCCTCCTCTCCATTCTGTGCGTGCTGCCTCCCACAGGTATCTAGATGAGTGCAGAAGCCCTGCCTCCTGAGTGGCACTAGTTGACTCCAGGCTCATTGACTCAGAGGCTGCTGCCATGAAAGGTCCAGAACTCCTTGCTGAGGATGCCCTATGGCTCTGTCCAGCAAGGAGGCCTCTGTGTCTTTGTGCTGAGCCACCTGGTGTGTCAAGAGTCAACAGTATTCAGCCTGCTCATTCCATGTGACAGTATATGGCAGGGGAAGAAAATGTCAATCTTTCTCCTTGGTGTTGCGCCTTGATCAACAAACCCCAGAGCTGATTGCTTGTTCCCCTTTACAAAACTGTGCTACTGATTTGCGGTAGAACAGGTGGTGCTGCTGTATCTCAAACTCTGTTTGCTTTCCTTGGCCATGGCTGTCCACCAGATAACAAAAGTTATCATCCCTCAGTCCTCCAGTTCTCTAAAAGCCCACTGGATGCCAAGGAGTGAGGTTTTGTTCACTGTGCCAGATGCTCCTAAGGTGCATTCTGAGCACCGCCTCCCTCAACAGCTGTGAATAGCACCCGCAGTGTCCTTCTGGGTCCGGGCACCTTTGAACTCCAGTAGGACAATGAGCATCACTCATCCTGCGATCGCTGAAGTGTGCTCATTCATCGTCGTAGTCAGTATTTCCCCTGACTTCCTTTGGCTGCAAGAGTAATCTGATAATTACATAGTATTCATGATATTAAAGTTGCTGAAAGCTTAGGGAAAGATTTTTCTCATTTCACTACCTTGGCTACCTTTTGGGAAAAGGTTTTATAGGAATTACAAGCACTTGTATACACGTCACATTTTATTTATTTATTTATTTATTAGTCTTGAAACCCATAAAAGAAGTTTTCTTTTATTTTTAGAGGGGCAAAAAGATGAAGAGTTCCCAGCTCTTGGTTCACTCTACAAATGTGTGAAATGCCCAAGCAGAATCCAATATCACAATCCAGGAACTCAATTTAGGTCTCCCAGATGGGTCTCCTGAGCAACCCCGTTGCCTGCCGGCACCCGCATCCACAGGAATCCAGTCCAGAGCAGAGGCGGGTTCCAAACCCAGGCACCAACGCGGCGTTCAGGTGTCTTAACTACCAGGCTGAATGGGAAGACAGTTTTGAGGGTCCATCCAATGATGAGCAAGCAAGCAGAGTCACCCACAGGGAGAAAGGGATGGAGCTCTCGGGATGCAGGTAGAGAGGATGTGTGAGGGTCCTGTCAGCTCTCTGCTCCCCAGTGCCTGCCTCTCTCAAGACTCCTGGCTGGGGACAGGCATTGGGGTCTACAATGAAGATGCTGCCAGTTACACCTGGACCCCATATTGGAATGTGTGAGCTGGGGTCTCAGCTCTGCCTCTGACCCCAGCTCCCTGCTATGCACACTTAGGAAGCAGCAGGGAATGGCTGAAGTCTGTGAGTTCTGGCCCACTGCTGACTGTTACAGACACGTGCAGAACAAACCAGTGAGTGGAAGATCTGTGTCCATGGTTGCATATGTGAGTGGGGCATGTGGGGAGGGTATTTGCCTCTCTGCCTTAGAATTGACATTTTAAAGAAAGGTTCCTCGTTGCAGGAACTTTTCTGGGCACTTTGAGATTCCACAATAACCTGATGAGATCTTTCACCAACTCTCCTGAATAAGTGGCTTCCATAACTTCCTTGAAAATACTCCTGCTGTGAGTATACAGTAGTGATACTTGGTGTAGGCATGGCAGGAGATGTCTAAATGGTCGAGCCAAAGAATTGCCCCTCCAGCCTGCAGCCTCTTTGTGCTGAGGTTGCCTCATCCTGGATGAAGGTCCTTTGGGTGGTGTAATAGGATTCTCCAGAGAAAATCAGCAAGATGTGTATATTTAGGGAAAGATGTAGCTTAAGGAGTTGGCTCATGTGTCTATGGCAAGTCCAAAATCCGCAGTGGGCCAACAGACCAAAGACTCAAGCAGACTGGCTGTTGCGTTTCAAGTCCAAAGTCCAGGCCAAGTGCTGCCGAGTTTCTTCTTGCTCAGAGATCATTGCTTGCTTCTATTTTGTCCTTCAGCTGATTGGGTGTGAACCACACAATTAAGACAATATGCATTACTGAAACCCTGCCAGCTTAAATGTTCATCACATCCAAAACACCCTCACAGAAACATCCAGAATAATGTCTGACCAAAAAGCCTCATGGACATGAAAGTAAACTTCGGTTTACAACACCGGTGTCCCACGTCAGAGTGCCACTGAAGTCTCAGTTGTTCTGTTCTGACCTAGCTTCTTGCTAAGGCCTCCAGGAAAGTAGAAGGTGATGGCCAGAACACTTGGGACCCCGGGGACTCTGCCACCCACATGGGAGACCCATGTGGAGTTCCAGGTTTCTGGTTGCAAGCTGGCCCAACCTTGACCATTGCAGTTTTTTTTTCACATTTTATTATTATTGCTATCATTTTATGATACAGTTCCATATTTCCTTATCCCCTCCCCAATTCCCCCCCCCCCGTTCCTTTATATCATTACTAACATATAGTACTTCATACTCAGTCATATGTTCATCATTGCGGGCATGGACAATGGCAGAGAGTCCAGAATCCTATTGTCAAAATATAATATACACAGTTTCACTGTAAGTCCATCTTTGTCTGGAAACAGAAATGCATACCACACTGCATCCTCACATCTGGTTGTTAGTCTCCATTACATAACTACTGTACATTCCCTTAAATGAAAAGTCATGATACAAAAGAAAGAAAAATAGAAATTTACAATGCCATGAAGTTAAATGACATGTTACTAGATATGACAGTCTCCATTACACAACTACTATACCTTCCCTTAAATGAAGAGCCACAAAACAAAATCAACATCCAAGAGAAAAAAGAAATTAACAACACCAAGAAGTTAAACAACATGCTATTAAATGTATAACGTGTAGCTGAAGAAGTGAAAATCAAGAACCTTCTTGAAGAAAATGATGCCACTGTATGATCTATGAGTCATTGAATGATTTAATCAGAAGAAAGTGTTTTGAAGAGAGGAAACCAACAGAAAACAACAAAACCCATGTGATAGAGTTTCCGCTGATCTTTGTTGGTGAAGTGTGTCTCCTCCAGACAATAAACAGATGGGTTTTGTTTTTTTAATCCAGTCTAATAATCTATGATGTTTGATCGAGCTTAAGCAATTTACATTCAGAGTTAAATATACATAGGTGGTACTTTGGTCCTGTCATTTTAGGAATGGGTTGTTCATTGATTTAGTCTTCTGTTGTCATTTTACTGGGATGTTCTTCACCTTTGCCTTTGGTTTTGGCAGGTGCTATTCCTCTTCTCTGTCAAGAGAACATCTTGAAGTATCATTTGTAGGGCAGGTTTGGAAGAGGCAAATTCCTTTAGCTTTTCTTTACTCTGGAAGAATTTTATTTCATTTTCAAAGATGAAAGAAAACTTTGCTGGGTATGTTATCCTAGGCTGACAATTTTTTTCTGTTAGAATCTGGAATATGTCACTCCATTCTCTTCTTGCCTGTAGAGTTTCCTGTGAGAGATCTCCTGTGAGTTTAATTGGCATTCCTTTATATGTCAATTGATGTTTTTCACGTGCACATTTCAGGATCTTTTCCTTCTGTCCAATTGAAGAGAGCTTGATGATCATGTATCTTGGTGAAGATCGCTTTTGATCAAGCCTGTTGGGCGTTCTGTGTCCCTCCTGGATCTTGTTTCCCAATTCTTTCACCAGATTAGGGAAAATTTCCTTGATTATTTCCTTAAATACATTTGCAAACTCAGCTTCTCTTTCTGCACCTTCCGGGACTCCCATAACTCTTATATTTGGCCTCTTAATAGTGTCTTTCAATTCCTGAATACTTTTTTTGGCCTGATCCAGCTCTGCTTCCAGCTTTTTGGTGACAGGAGATATCTTCCAATTCTGAGATTTTTTCTTCTGCTTGCTTGATTCTATTTTGGAGACTCTCCACCGTACTTGTAATTTGCTCTACTGTGTTCTTAATTTCTGATATTCCAGTCTTGATTTGCTTTACTGCTTCCTTAAATTCTTTGAACTCTTGCATGAGCTTCTCATTTTTGACCAGAGTCTTCAAAATGAGTCTTATGGATTCTGTGTCCCCCATTTTCTCGATGTCTTCCTCAGTTAACTCTGAGGTTGGCCTAGGGTTTTGCTCCTTTGCAGGGGA